CGGCGGACGGGCGCTCGGGGGGCGGTTCCCGCAGCGCGGCTCTCGGCGGGGCGGCGCTTTTTTTGCTGCTTGGGGCAGCAAAATAGTTAGAGCCGGCCCTGTCTCAGAGAGAGATGTCAGAAGAGCAAACTGGTCATTTCAATTACAATAAGTCCCCAGGCCCAGATGGTCCAGCCAAGGGTTTAGAAGGTGCTTCTAACGAAAATAAGCAATTTCTCACTAAACCCAGCACCATTCTAGACCAGAGGGGAGCAAATCTTGTGCCTAAACTTATAAAAAGCATTTGAGGGGGATGTGGGGCAGAACAGACCCACGAGCATCACATCTGGGCCTGGCAAATGGGTTGGATTGGTCATTAAAAGCCAAATAACACTCTGGAAGACCATGGTCTGATAGGATCCAACCAGCCCGGGTTGAGCAAAGGAAAATTGCGTCTCACTACTTTCTTGAGATTCTTTGACTAGTTCAGTAAAGTTGTGGATAAAGCAGCCCAGGTGACCTAGAATCATAGGACTGGAAGGGACCTTGTTGATAGTCCTGCCTCATTGCAGGGGACTGGACTAGATCAGGGCCGGCTTTAAGCCGATTCGGCCGATTCCTCGGAATGGGGCCCCGCGCCTAAGAGGGCCCCGCAACGTCCAGGGCAGCCAGCGGAGCGGGGGGGGAGGGGGAAAGCCGCGTCCTGCTTCTCCCCCTCCCTCCAGCGCTTGCGCCACCATACAGCTGATCAGCCTGGGAGGGAGGGGTGAGGAGGAGGAATGCAGCAAAGACGTGGGGCCAGGGTGGGGATTTGGGGAGGGATCCAATGGGGCAGGGAGGGGTGGAGTTGAGGCGGAGTTGGGGCGGGGAGTACAAGACAATTCGCGTCCGGGCGTGGGGCCCCGCACCTGCTAAAGCCGGCCCTGGACTACATGACCTAAAGTATTAATCTAGACCATCCCTGACAGGTGTTTTGTCTGACCTGTTCTTAAAATCCTCCAGAGATGGAGATTCCACAACCTCCCTAGGCGATTTATTCCAGTGTTTAACCACCCTGACAGTTAGGAAGTTTTTCCTAATGTCCAACCTAAACCTCCCTTGATGCAATTTAAACCCACTGCTTCTTGTCCTATCCTCAGAGGTTAAGAAGAACAATGTATAACCCCTAACAACCTTTTAGGTACTTGAAGACTTATGTCCCTGTCAATCTTCTATTCTCCAAACAAACCCCAATTTTTTTTCACTCTTTCCTCACAGGTCATGTTTTCTAGACCTTTAATCATTTTTGTTGCTCTTCTCTGGACTCTCTCCAATTTGTCCACATCTTTCCTGAAATGTGGCACCCAGAACTGGACACAATACTCCAGTTGAGGCATAATCAGCACGGAGTAGAGCAGAAGAATTACTTCTCGTGTCTTGCTTACAACACTCCTGCTAATACATCCCAGAATGATGTTTGCTTTTTTTGCAACAGTGTTACACTGTGGGCTCAGTTTTAGTTTGTGATCCAGTCTAACCCCCCCCCCCCATCCCTTTCCGCAGTACTCCTTCCTAGGCAGGCATTTCCCCATTTTCTATGTGTGCAATTGATTGTTCCTTCCCAAACGTGCTACTTTGCATTTGTCCTTATTGAATTTGTTCGTAACCAGGGTGGGGCAGCCACCCAGGACACAAAGCCCCAGGGGTGGAAAAAGGGGGCAGAAAATGACCAAAAAAACCCTGGTGGGGGTGCAAATCGGCTTGCTCACCCCGGGTGCTAAAATGCCTAGTTACAGCTCTGTGTCATCCTATTTCAGCCCATTTCTCCAGTTTGTCAAGATCATTCTAATCCTGTCCTCCAAAGTGCTTGCAACCCCTCCCAGCTTGGGATCATCCACCACTTTATACATGTACGCTCTATGCCATTATCCAAATAATCTATGAAGATACTGACTAGAACCAGCTCCAGGACAGATCCCTGCGGGACCCCACTCGATATGCCCTTCCAGCTCGACTGTGAACTATTGAGAACTACTCTGAGTACAGTTTTCCAGACAGTTGGACACCTAACTCATAGCAGGTTCACTAAGGCTGTATTTCTCTAGGTTGGTTATGAGAAGGTCATGCAAGACAGTATCAAAAGCTTTACTGAAGTTGAGATATAGAATCATAGAAGATTAGGGTTGGAAGAGACCTCAGGAGGTCATCTAGTCCAATCCCCTGCTCAAAGCAGGGCCAACACCAACTAAATCATCCCAGCCAGGGCTTTGTCAAGCTGGGCCTTAAAAACCTCTAAGGATGGAGATTCCACCACCTCTCTAGGTAGCCCTATATACCCCATATACCAAATCTACCACTCCCCCTCTAGCCACAAGGCATGTTACCCTGCCCAAGAAGAATAAGAGGTTGGTTTGACGTGATTTCTTCTTGACAAATCCCTGTTGACTGTTACGTATCCCCTTATTTTCTCCTAGGTGCTTACAAATGGATTGTTTGATTATTTCCTCCAGTATCTGTCCAGGTACCGGAGTTAAGCTGACTGGTCTCTAAGTCGCTGGGTTGTCGTTATTCCCCTTTTTATAGACAGGTGCTATATTTGCCAAGACTTTCAAAAGGCCTTTGACCAGGCCCTGCACAAGAGGATATTAAAGAAGCCAAGGCCCAGATCTGCAAAGGTATTTAGGCACCTAAGTTCCACTGAAATCAAGCCTACGTTGTCATGGGTGAGAGGCAAAGTAACGCCCTGGATCAAAATCTGGCCAGCGGATAGGAAGCTAAGAGGTGGTTAACCGGTGAATGTTCATCATGGCAAGAGGCTATGCACTAGGGGTTTAATGAATTTAGCAAGGATCTGGACAGGGGAGGTGGCACCAAGTTATTAAGTGGAGCTTGTGGGGAGTTTGCAGTTGGAATAATTTCCCCATGGAAAAGGCCATTCGGGCAAAAAGAGAAATTTCCCGCGGGGAAAATGTCCGTGTTGCTGAAAAACGTCCGTTTTCTGTTGGGGAAAATCAACATGAGAGAGAGAGTAGAAAGCCAAACTGGCTAACGCTTTCCAGGCAGGCTCCGGCCTCCCCAGTGGCTCCGGGGCTGGAGAAGCCGAGCACCCAGGTTCTCTGCCTCTCTGGCGCTGGGCGGGAAGGCCCTTGTCAGTGTCAGTTTCCCAGGCAGGCGGCCAGGAAGCTGAAAATTTTCATTTGGGTTCTCCCTTCTGAATCCCCTCCCGTGCTTCCGGCCCATGAACAATAACAGCCCCTTACTGGTGGGGCCTGGAAGACAATGACCGAAACCAATCTCCTTCTCGGAGCTCTTGGCATCCTGCCTTAGAGAGTAAAACAGGGAACTCGCGGAGAGGCTGGGCCAATCAGGCTAATGGATTACACTTTCACTACCCCATTTGGGGTCATTCTGACTCACAGGTTGGCAACCGACCAATCCTACGGCAGGGGAAGGCAGGCAGAGGCATTGTACCCGTCTCCGTAGTTCCATTCCAGGTCCTACCAGGGTGGATAAAAAAATCATTGATTTTTTTTTTTATTTAAATCAGATTTTTTTGATAGAATGTTTTTTGAGGAAAAAGCCTATCTAAAGATAGTTTTAATTAAGATATTTTTGGGCTATAATGTATCTCATCATATCTCAAATTCTATAGTATGAGAAAATATATTCATGTCATGTTTAAGAAAAGTTTTGTACATGAGTTCCAATAGTTCATGGATTAGGGACCCAATCTTATGGGGTTCCAGGGGCTTCTGTAGAAAGATTAACCTAAATAATCTCGATCTACCCAATGGGACTCAGTGCTCAGTCTAGAAGATACCATCAGAGATGTTTAGTTTTGCAGTTCTCAAACTGTGGATTTGTGTCTCCAGAGATAACATGCTTGTTAACAGCAAAAATGATTTTAAATAAATAAATAAATAATATATAGAGGTGAGAAATAACAGACCTCAACCCTATTGTCCCTCTGCAAATTTGTGTACACAGAGTCAATCCCTTACCCCTCTCTAAAAGTGCAAAGTTTCAAAAAGTTCAATGACGAGAAGATTGTTGGGGGCGGAATAGATCTGGACAAGGAGAAGAAGTCTGGAGATAAATGTGAGAAGGGAGGGACAGGCAGTAGAAACAAAAGTGAAATTGTTTGAGCAGCATATTCCAGAAGGCTTGAGGTCTTTCGGAGTGTAGCCTTCATTGATTTGAGATCTACCATACCATTCTCTACTAGCAGGGAAAACCTATAATGGCAGCAGGCCGTAAAAGAGACCCAGTTTGGGAATAAGAACCAATCAAGAAATACATGTTTGCTGATGTTTTAAAGAAAGTCACACCAGTGAACTGGTGGAAGTCATTTAAACACTTGGATTCAGAGACTGTTGAAGTAATCATCTCACTTTTAACAGCAGTAGCTTCTTCTGCCGGTGTAGAAAGAATATTTTCTTCCTTTGGACTAATTCATTCCAAATTGAGAAATCGTTCGGGACCTGAAAAAAGCAGGAAAGCTTGTTTTTCTTTTCCAGATTATGAACAAACAGGAAAATGAAGGTGAAGACGACCGAGTTAGCTGTAGAAGCCAATATTTTAAGTTTCCCACTGTTGACCTGGCTGACATAGTCGATTTAATTTTTGTGTTTTTTTTAATACACCTCTACCCCGATATAACGCGGTAAAGCAGTGCTCCAGGGGGGGCTGCACACTCTGGCGGATCAAAGCAAGTTCGATATAACGCGGTTTCACCTATAATGTGGTACGATTTTTTTGGCTCCCGAGGACAGTGTTATATTGGGGTAGAGGTGTATTTCATTTAACTATTTTAGTTAAAAAACAATTTAAAAAACAAACAAACCTGATTTAAAATAACTCGAATCTTTAAGTTCAAAAATTCATATGCTTGTTTTGTTAAAATAGTATATGTTTGCTGTTGAAGAAAAAAATCCAGAATTCATAACGTTGTTGTTTTAGTTAAATAAAACAATTACAATGTCTGTCTGGTGATGTTCTCCTCCTAATACAGCCTAGCAAGAAAATTCTCCAAATATTAATGATTAACCTGTTGAATTGGAGATAGTTCACCTCCCAGTGACTTCATAAATATCTGCTCCAATTACCTTTGGTAAATGAAATAACCAAACAATCATTCATTTTCTGATATAGCTGTAAAACTCCTCTGAAAAGTTTTCAAAATAAATCACTTTAAAAATCTAGTGTGTACCTTCTAAAAATGAAACCTACATCTATCCCTGAGTTGTGAGGAATATGTATTAAGGTTGTAACAACCACCAAGAGTGCACTTTTATGTAGAAATCCATGATTAAACTGAGTCTTCCTGATTAGTGATTTAAATCAATTTGATTTAAATCAAATCCACCCTGGGTCCTACACCATCAGTATGACCTCTGGGCACAGCGATATGGGCAACATACACAGCTAAACACATCCGGCTAAATGTATCCATCTGGGAACAAAGAATGCAGGCCATACTTGCAGGATGGGAATACTTCCCATACTTTCTAATCTGGGAAGTGGCGACTCTGAAAAAGACCGGGGGAGGGGAGTGGAGAATCAGCTGAACATGAACTCCCAGAGGGATGCTGTGGCCAAAAGGCCTAACGCAATCCTGGGATGCAGAAACAGGGGAATCTTGAGTAGGAGCGGAGAGGTGATTTCACCTCTGGATTTGGCACTGGTGCAACCACTGCCGGAATCCTGCGTCCAGTTCTGGTGCCTACAATTCAGGAAGGAGGTTGGTAAATTGCAGAGAGCTCAGAGAAGAGTCACAAGAATGATTAAAGGATTAGAAAACCTGCCCTGTAGTGACAGACTCAAGGAACTTCACCTATTTAGCTTAACAAAAGGAAGGTTAAGGGGTGACTTGATCACAGTCTACCAGTATCTACTTGGGGGAAATATTTAATGAGCTCTTTAATCTAGCAGAGACGGGTCGAACATGGATCCCATGGCTAGAATTTGAAGCTGGACAAATTCAGATGAGAAGTAAGGGGTAAATGTTTAACAGTGAGTGACCATTGGCACAACTTCCCAAGGATCGTGCTGGGTTCTCCGTCACAGCAGCCACGTCTACACTGCAACGTTTTGTCAACACAAGTTACAGTGGCATACAGCTGCCGCAGTTAAGAAATCATTTTGGAGCTGGAAAATCCACAGCGGGGACCGTTGTCATGCAAGTGTGTAGGGTCGTTAATTGCCTCTTGTTATACAGGACTGTGACTCTTGGCAATGTGCAGGACAGAGTGGATGGATTTGCACCTATGGGGTTCCTGAGCTGCGGTGGGGCAACAGACGGCACGCGTATCCCTGCTTTGGCCCCACAGCACCGGGCCGCAGAGCACACCAACAGAAAGGGCTACTGTGCCGTGGTTACCCTAGCATTGGTGGATGCTTCACTGACATCAACATTGGCTTGTCAGGGACGGTGCATGACGCTCGCATCTTTAAGAAGACAGGACTGTTCAGAAGGCGATAAGCAGGGCCTTCTTTCCGACCGGCGGATTACCATTGGCAATGTTGAAATGCCAGTAGTGATCCTCGGGGACCCAGCCTACCCCTTGCTCCCCTGGCTCATGAAGCCATGTACCAGTCACCTCGACACACCAAGGAGAGATTCAGCTACCAGCTCAGCAGGTGCAGCTGAATGGGCCTTTGGTGGGTTGAAAGGACGCTGGCGTTGTTTACTCCCCAGATTGGATCTCAGTGCGAAGAGCATCCCAATGGTTATAGCTGCCTGCTGTGTCCTGCATAATATTTGTGAGGCAAAGGGGGAAAAAGTTGCCACTGGGGTGGCGGGCAGAGGTGGAGCCTCTGGCTGCAGAGTATGAAAAGCCAGACACAAGGGCTATCAGACGAGCTCAATGAGGAGCTATACGGCTTAGGGACGCTTTGAAAGAGCACTTTCACCATGAACCACAGGAACGTGCCGTGGTTATGGTGCTCATCCTGGGATGGCAGGCTGGGGGCCTGTTGGGAATTGCGTGGTGCATGGCGCACATCTGTGCACGCAGCAATGACAGCACCCCTGCTAAAGTGTGTGTGGGGGGGAGTTGCTGTACATTTGTGACAATGACTGTTGGAAGTAGAGCAAGGCCTGACAGGGATTGGAAGGGGATTTCAATACAAACAATCTCTTCTGTGAGCAAGAGTCAGGCTAACTGCACCGAACCAAAGAGTGAGAACTGTGTTTTTCTCCGACAATTGTGTTGGGCACTGACCTGATGGGTAGTGTGTGTACAAGAGCCCCTCTGCATTGCCAGCGGGTGTTAGACACCAGGTGTGGTAAACTCATCGAGATGAATCACTTTCAGAACAAAAGCATTTTATTCACTAATGAAAAACAGTAAATACACTAACTTGGAACAATTTAAGAATCCCCCCCCACACCTTCAACTACCTGAAGGGAGGGTTCCAAAGAGGATGGATCTAGACTGTTCTCAGTGGTAGAGAACAGAACAAGGAGGAATGGTCTCAAGTTGCAGTGGGGGAGGTCTAGGTTGGATATTAGGAAACACTATTTCACTAGGAGGGTGGTGAAGCACTGGAATGGGTTACCTAGGCAGGTGATGGAATCTCCATCCTTAGAGGTTTTTAAGGTCAGGCTTGACAGAGTCCTGGGTTGGACTAGATGACCTCCTGAGGTCTCTTCCAACCCTAATCTTCTATGATTCTAACCGTAATAAATAAACCACAGGAAGGAACATCAGTGTCCATTGTAGCTACGCAGCTATCAACGGTGGCTCTCACAGGTCAACGTAGGTCAAGCGGTGGTTGTCTGGGTGTTCTCCCAGTGGAGGGGTAGGTGTAGGCAGGCCCTGAGGAATGCTCCGGGGGGCGGAGGGGGGCGTTGGGAGGAGCTATGCTGCAGTTCTCCACCGATAGCAATGGGAGTTGAGCCCGGGACTGTTGAGCCTGGAGGTCCACAGGGGTCTGCAGCATCTATCATCTCCTGTCAGAGAAGCCCCATTACATCGTGGTGCATCTCCCGTGCCTTTTCCTGCTGGGCCTGTCTCTCCTCCACGCTTTCCTTCTCTGTACAGTCTGCAGCGTCCCCTCTCCAGGCCCTCTGCCCAAGGTCGTATGCAGCACTGGCTTGCAGGATCTCACAGAACACGCCCTCTTGTTTCTCCTCATCCAGGTCAGTCATTTCACGGGCGTGGTGGGGTCGCAGCGACCGATGAAGCACACAGCGGTTCCACGGTCAGATTAGGAACGGAGAGTGACACTTACGATTCAGAGCTCCCCACTTCCTGCTCTCCCCCGAAGTGTTAAACAAGACAAGCTCATCGACGCCTCTGCTTGGCTGTCCCTGATCTCCAGTGCCACGCCATGGTGAACGAGGAGGGAACTGCTGGGCTGCATGAACCTACGAGTGTAGGGCACTGGCCCTGAATACTGCCCCATTTTCCGCAGGAGGTGGGGGTAGCTGTATTTCATCTGAGGGTAACAAAGGTAGAGAGAGCACAGCTGTTGCGGGTGTCCGGAAGCCACCCGGGCCCACGTGCCTCTAGCCTGTTGACTGCAGGGTGCGTGTTGCCTGGCATAGGGAAGTGTCCTACCCAAGGGGAAGAAATAAGGCAGCCCTGCCTGGAAACCTTCGGGACAGGATTACCAGTACCTGCAGGGAAGTTTCATGGAGATCTCTCTGGAGGATTCAAGGGACGTCCCATGTACATGATGAGGCAAATGATAAGCAGACAGCAACTCTGCTTCTCTTGGTTGTACGCTACCTCTTCCAGCACGAGCAGATCAATGAAAGGCCCAAATCTGTCCCCCCACTAATTGGGGGGCACCATGGGAAATGTCCTCTCCCGCTTACCCTCTGTATTGGGCTCACCCACGCTCGGCTGCCAGGACTGCGGTGCAGTCCAAAGCAGATCTGCCCCAAGGACGGCATGCAGCTCTCTGTGAACGTGGCAGGTCTTCAGCTTGGCACCCGACTGACTTGGCCTCGCTGACCTTCTGGTGTGCCTGCCGCAGCTCCTTGGCTTTCGTGCGGCACTGCTGCTGGTCTCTGCGGTGCCCCTTCTGCATCCCCCGAGCAATGTGCCCGTAGAGGTCGATGTTTCTATGGCTGGTTCAGAGCAGGGCCTGCACAGCCCCTCAAGTCCAGGAGATCCAATATCTCCGGTCTGCTCTAGGCGGGAGCGTGTCCGGCGCGTGTCGCTGGCATGGCCAGCCGGGCAGTTGTACCCAGCAGTGGAGAGCGGCTGGGTGTGATCGCCAAGCTGGGCAAGCAGGAAAAGGCGTTTCAAAAATTCATGGGGGAAGAGAGGCAGGGCTGATCCCTGGGCAGAGGAACTCAGTGTGACCAGAGCCGTCGGTGCTGGGTATTGTGGGACAGCTGCTGGAGGAGTGTTCGAGTCAACATAATGTAAGCGGGGGAATGGTCCCGCTATTGTGGGGAACTTTCCTGGCTTA